TACAGCTGGGGAGGGAGGTAGGAGCCAGATGACAGGGGTTTTACATCTAAGCCAAGTTTAGATCTTATTGGAAGGGCAACAGGAAGCCTTTAAAGAGATCAAAGCAGGGGTGTGGCATGGTGAAGCATGTGCTTTAGAAAGCTTTTCCTGGCAGCTGTGTGGAGACTGGTCTAGAAGAGAAGGGACTAGAGGAAGGGTGATTAGGATTTGGTTTTATAATCTGAGACAATAAGGGTCTGAAGACATGTTAGTGGGATAACAGAAGAAGGAGCAAGGAATGGAATTTTGGAGATGTCAAAGAGATAGACGCTACAGAACCCTTCTTAAATCACTGCATGTGCCCGAAAATAAAAGACATTGCTTAAATTCTGGCTCCTTATACACTGGGAAATGAGTCATCTTGTAGAGTTGAGTTTTCTATAAACAAATGTGGCTTTACCCCTTTTTGCATCCACCATTTAAAAAATGTTATATTACTGTAATTATTATTTGCAGTGCCTTGGTAACATGTCATACTTTCTTTGAAGGTGGCACTGCCTTGTTGTAAACACAGCAGGGGCTTTGGAGTCAGGCCTGGGTCCCAAACTGCTCTGTTCTTTATTCGCTGTGGAGCTCAGGTAAGTCACTTCACCTCTTCGAACCTGTTGCTTCTTCAGAATGGTGTCAAGATCATCCACCCTGCAGGGTTGTTGTGAGTTATATGAGGTCATGCATGTAATGATCATCCTAAGTGCTCAGCAAGTTAGTCTTCCTCCTCCTCCTTCCTTCCTATGATGCCCCAGACTTATCCTTATGGACACCAGTAACAGTGACACTATGTAGGGCTATCTTGACCTTCCCCAAAGGGCCCTAGAGCAGTGTTCCTGGACTTTTTATGTCTGCTTTTTACATTTTCTGTGTCTTTTCCCATAAACTGCCGCTCCTCACTGCTGTCATCACCCACTCTCCTTTCCTGTTTTAATTCTATGAGTTTGTAGAACAGGTTATAGGTGTTCTATCTGCTTTACATGTTCATTATTAACTTTTAATTCATTTAATCTTTACAACATTATCAACCAGGTGCTATTATTATCTTCATTTTACAGCAAAAAAGCTGATGCACAGGAAGGTGAAATGACTTCCCAGGGTCACACTACTAGGAAGTGGAGAGGCTTGGACCTACGCAACATGGCTCCAGGGGCTATTCTCTTAACCACACATTATATCGCCTCTCAAAACCGAGAACCACAACGAATAGTGTACAAATTAAGAGTTAATACACTGAAGACTGGAGAGCAAGTCTCTTTTATTGGTGTTTCCTTTCAGACCAAACTTTCAAAATACAGCAGGGAGGAGCTGTCTGACCAGACGGGGTTATTAGAGGTCATCTTTCAAGCAGATTACTTGAGACAACGGAGAATTACTAAATGTAGAGGGAGATTCAAGGCAAGAAAGCCTAGTTGCTGCATCTCACTCTCTTTGGTCGGGGGGAGGCAGGGGTTGCAGCTCTTTTAGATAAAAATATGGCTTGATAAAAAAAAGAATGGACAGATTCGACTTCCCCAATAGTCTGATGTTGTCTGCATGATGTAAATATTAGTTCTTAATTTTCTGGCATCAATGGAGCCCATGAAGAATGTAATCAATACCGATTTCCCTTCCAGGAAAGTATACATTTAACTTTTTGTACACAATTATAGGGGATTCCAAGATCCTTTCTTGGACATGAAATTTAGAGGTTCTTAAACCTTTCAGCTGTGGACCTGAAAATCAAAGCCCAGGGCTTGAGTCCTGACTCTTCTGCTAACATTCTGTGCGACAATTAGGCAAGCCAGTACCCTCTGAGCCCTATTTGCAAAAACGGTATGATCATCTCTGCCCTGCTTCCCTCACTTCAGCGGGCTATGATGATGAGTGTGGTGAACAGCAAAGTGCTATCTGAAAGTTATCAGGACACTGAGGTTTAGAGAGGTTACTCACCTAAAGGTCACACAGCTATGAAGTGGCAGAACCAAGGTTCAAGCTGGAAGACACTAAAGTCTCTAGAGTGTGTGTGTGTGTGTGTGTGTGTGTATAGTCTCTCTCCTAGAATTTTATAAAGGATCAAATGAGATAATGAATGTCAAAATGTCATGTAAACTGTAAAGTGCAATGGCTATTTGAGTTACTCCTGAACTGAACTTAGGATTCCATATCACACA